TCGCGGCCGTGTTCCTGCGCCCCAGTTCCCGGCGCCTTGCGCCCCAGCAACCCGCGCCCTACACCTTGGTCTCTGCTCCCAGCGCCTAGGTCTCTTCCACCTCCAGCACTTAAAGGCTCGGCAGGAGGCGCTGGGCACCTGAGCAGTTGCCGGGAACTGTTGCCACAATAAACCGAATCACCGGAACCTGGGAACTGGGCGGCGATGGCACTTCGGTAACTGAAAACTAGAAGATAGGAGGCGCCGAATCACACCTGGGATGCAAATCGCGGCCCTCTCCAAAGCGAACGGAGGGGAGGGCCAGCTGCTGGCCGAGTTAGTGTTTAAAGTACTGCAGTCATCAGCATCCTGCGTGGACTTTATTTCTTCTTTCTAAGGTGCCTGGGCATACGCCCCCACCCCCGGTGCTTAGACCACGCCCTCGAGGTGTTGGCTTTGCGCTTCAGACTCTGGGGACTGTGCAGAGAGACGATTGGGAGGAAGGGGACGTAGGAGTCGGATTGGCGGAAGCAGCTCTTGAGGACCCGTGGGCAGCGAAGGCGGCCTGGGTAGCACCAGACGGCAGTATCACAGGGTGGCCACGGGAGAGGTCGGTCCCGCTAACAGAGATCCAGATACTTAGGATCGTAAACAGCTCAGCAGCCGAGAAATGGGTCATGCAAATCATTTTTATGGAAAACGCACTTAATGAGCTGTTAGGAAATAGCACGGATATGCCTATTTCTCTCCGAGAATTAAATTAAAACGGTGTAATGCATCAAAAAGGCAGACCAGGCACACTGCTCAAATGAGCAACAAGTTGTTCCTTCCTGGATTTTTATTTCTTTTTATTCTATTTTCAAAAATAAAAACAACAAAAAAGGAGCTAACAGGGATTTTACAGATCATGGACCAAGCGCTTATTTGACAGGCTGCAAACTTAGGGGGGGGGAGAGTTAATGAGGGATCTGGGATGAGGAACCTGGTGGCCTGACTCAGACCCTTTAGGCATCCACCTAGGAAAATACTAGCAAGGATTCTTGGAAATGTAAAACTGTTGGGTCCTTCCAAGGAAATTAATGGCCAGCTCTGTTATGAGAAGCTGATTGTTTACTTTATAGCATTTAAACTCATTCTATTCTCCTTACTGCTTGGATGATGTTGTCTGTTAACTTTTTAAAAAAAATAAAATTGAAGACTAGGGAAGATAAAATCCAAGTCAAAGCATTATATTTATTGAGCAACAAGCATTAAAACTGTGACTCAAGAGTGGAAACAAGGCTAAGTAGTATTTGGGGAACATCTCTGAAAAACACAAAACAAAACTCATGGTATAAGTCACATGAAATGCTCCAACTGGAATCTGGAAAATTGTCAACTAGAATATTCCAGCACAGGGAACACCTGTAAAATGTTCTTGAGAAAGTTTGTAGGGTGAACTATATGCGTGAAATACTGCAGACAACTTTTTTTCCTCTCTTTTAAGGCAATCTGCGAACAGAGGTTTGCTGGGACATCCATGTGAATAAAAGGGGTGATACCCAGATATATTGTACAGGTGTCTTTTAAAGCAACCTATGACTATAGTCCGAAGTTGTGAAAATGCCTTTTCCCACAGATGGGCTAGAGCCTGCTCATACATGAAAGCTGACTGTCAGGAATATTTGGACCTGGTCATTAAACACAACCATTATTAAAATTTAGCTTATATAAACTTACAATTAAATTAGTTCTAGTAAAAATAAAGATAACCAGTACAACTCATTAGTTGCTAATCATTTTATTGCAGTTTACTACTATTATGTTTCTGAGTTTATTTACGTCTGTTGCACCTGTATAGTGCAGCTCTCATATAATGGTGGGTTGCTGTGTGCCTCTTCCCAAGTCCTCGTTCAGCGACATCACATTGATAGTTTGAAATCAACCAAGGTGGGAATATTGGTATATGCACCATGAAAATCAGGGCTTCTTCCCCCGTTCCCCAAGCTGCTAATTAAACATTTACCAGCTCGCACTACCTTTCCCCCCTGTATTCCAGAATGCCAAGGAATGACTGCTCTGTTCACCTTCTCCTCTGCCGACCTCTCTCTGCAGGGAAGAGGTGTCAGTGATCCAGCCCTCCACAGGGGAGGAGTGTGTATCACGCCCACATGTCCCTCCACCCCAAGCTGGGTGCTATACCAAGGCTCTGTGCCCTGGTCCCAGATAACCTGTCCACCCTGAACATTGCTAGAGGAAAAAGTGCTTGGATTCTCCCAAAGTGGAACCACTACTTGCTCATTTTAAAGTTTGACTCCAGTCCTTGCCTTTTCTCTTCAATTCTGAACAATCTTGAGAAGGTTAATTCTCTGCTTCCCTCCAGGATGTTTATTTAAGCCTGAGGTTCATCTTGAGCATTTTTCTCTGGAATGATAAGGATATTATAAAGGCGCCTCTCAAACTCTAATGTGCACACCCTGGGGATCTTGTTAAAATGCAGATTCTGAACGGTTTAGGTGGGGGGTGAAAATACCACATTTCTAAGAAGCTGTCATCACTCTTAGTACAGACTCATGCACACCCTGGGGATCTTGTTAAAATGCAGATTCTGAATGGTTTGGATGGGGGGTGAAAATACCACATTTTAAGAAGCTGCCATCACTCTTAGTACAGACTCACACTTGAAGTAGGAAGAGTATAGAACACATGTGAACATTAAATTATTACCTCAAAAGGCAGAAAGGAAAGGGGGAATATGGAAGGAAGAAGGAAAAAGTGAGGAGGAAAATGATGGGGGAGAATTAAAATAAAGTATATTGCCTGGCTGGTGTGGCTCAGTGGTTGAGCATCAACCTATGAACCAGGAGGTCACTGTTCGATTTCCTGTCAGGGCACATGCCTGGGTTGCAGGCTGGATTCCCATCAGGGGGCAGCCCATCAGTGATTCTCATCATTGATGTTTCTATCTCTCTCTCCCTCTCCCTTCCTCTCTGAAATCAATAAAAAAGATATTTTTAAAAAGTAAAATAAAGTCGATTAGGCAATCAAGTATAGAACAGACACTAACTTCATTTTATCAAGGTATTCTCAGTCTAGGAGCACCTTGATGCATCAAATTACAACTAGGAGTGTAATAAACCCGAGTGTCACACCAGTTTCCTGTCCCTCTACCTGGTGGAGAAGGGATCTTTGTGAATTAGTGGGTCAGGGTGAAGAAGAAAAAAAACCCTTTCTTGCCATCACCCAAAGCTCTGGAGTCACTTTCCCCTCTTCTCTCTGATCTGAGAGAGAAAGAGTTACCCTTCCGGGGTTGGCTAATAAACCAGAGAGCAGAGAGGTTCCCTGCAGGCATCGGTATATCCAGGCAGGGTCGGTACCACACCAAGGAAGGCTTTTAAACGTCATATCAAAGCCTTTCAATTTCACTTCAGACCCTGATCTTTTCTAGGAAATGGGGAATCACACAAAGAAATCAGTAATGAGCCCAATTCACTGAGTTTACTGGCATTCTTCCAATGAATAGAAATATTATATGCTGACCTTTATTCCCAAACTTATCTCAACTGACTAATTATTAGAGTAACAGCTGACATTTTCAATGCTCGCTAACATTTAGATAAATGAGGGAAGCTGATGGCTACGCTGGTATTCTTCATTGTTAATTATTGGCTTAAAACAAGGATTGGAAAACTATGACCCCACCCCCACCCACCGCCCCCAACCTCCTGGCCAAACTCAGCTCACTGCCTGTCTTTGTCTGACACCTGAGTTAAGAATGGATTTTATAGCCCTAACCGGTTTGGCTCAGTGAACAGAGCATCGGCAGGTGGACTGAAGGGTCAAGGTTCAATTCCGGTCAAGGGCATGTACCTTGGTTTCGGGCACATCCCCAGTAGGGGGGTGTGCAGGAGGCAGCTGATCGATGTTTCTCTCTCATTGATGTTTCTAACTGTCTATCCCTCTCCCTTCCTCTCTCTGTAAAAAAATCAATAAAGTATATATATTTTTTAAAAAAGAATGGTTTTTATATTTTTTTAATAGTTGGAAAAAAAGAAAAAGGAAGAACATTATCAGTGATTCATGAAAATGATATGAAATTAAAATGTCAGCATCCACAAATAAAGTTTTATTGGAACACAGACATTCGTTTGTTTACACTTTATCTATGGCTGCTTTTGTGCTACACAACCAGCGCCGAGTAGCTGTGACAGAGACCATATGGCCCACAGAGCTAAAAATATTTATTATCTAGCCTTTTACGAAAAATGTTTGCTGATCTCTGATTTAAGATGACAGAGAAAGCAATTCCCACAAGGGCATTAAATAACCACGCGGAGTCCTAATGGGCTGAAAGAGCTTGTAAGGCTTCCAGAAGGGCAAGAAAACCTCCTAGGGAACAGCTGCCACCCAGGGGGGTTCCTCTCATTAGCTAACTAAACTCCAGGTCTGTGAGACATGTTAAGCAGCTTCATTCAGCTGCTAAGACCCTCCCAGGCGCTGCTTGGAGCACCCTGTTCAACAGGAGGGCTGCTGAGTGGGGACAAAACCTCTCTGTGTTTGCTCTGCTGCGTTGCAGCCGGAGTCGCGGTGCAGAGCTTCGTAGCTCCTGGCAAAAGAAAAGACAGAGCCGGATTGTAAGAAACTGGTGGCATTTCAAGAGTCATCTTCCATTTAAAGACCTCATTTTAAAACCCCATATTGTTCTGGTCCTTCGTGTTCTTTTGTCAGACACTTCAACCCAAACACTGTATATCTGGAAAGCAGTCCTCTGCTGCACGCACACACATTGAGTAGCTCAGATGTGAGGGGCCTCCGAAGTTTTTATCCCCAGAATCCACTGGGGCAGGTGGCCTCAGTAACAGCACCAAGTGCATTTAGAAAGCTCAGGAATCTGTCTATAAACCGCTGTGTGCTAAAGAAAACTCTTATTATAAAGGAAAACTGTACCAGGATACTGTCATTAAAAACACACTCAACACATTTGCATAATCAAGACTTTTGTAATCCATGTGCGAACGTTCGCAATAGCATCAGCAATGAATTAATGGAGTTGCCTCAACATGCAGAGTGCAAGCACTCCCCTTCCAGGGACTTGATATGACAGATTCTTGCAGAGAACAACCAGAAATAAATAAATAAGCCCACAAACAGGGGAACAATTGTTTGCCAAACCTTGGCATTAAGCCAACAATCTCAATGTTTGCTCATTCAACACAAACTGGGTAAATACAGAGAGAAAACGCCAACCTCGGGGGAAATAGCTCAGAGAGTGGCAGCTTAACAGTAAATTCAGCCATAATAATCTCATAGAAGTATATGACTCCCATTTACATCTACCCTTAAGAACCTGTTCCGAAGCACGTTTCGATATTATATGGGTCTCATTCTGTGCTGAGTGCTTAATGGGAATGTGTAAAAGGGGAAACAATACTTGCTGAATGGCAGTTGTAAAGGCGAGCTTGCTTTTCAGAAAGCTGTAACAACTCTGAAGGTTACACATGGCAATTTTCACACACTGGTATTCTCGCAGTTAAAGAAAAGTAATATTTAAATGATTTCCACTGCTTCCAATTTTGGCAGTACGTGGGCACGAAGCTCTGAGACTTTTCAAATTAGCGGTGTGATTTTTCCATGCTGGCCTTGAACATATTGTTGGACGCTCCAGGGGAGTTTGGCTGCTTGCAGGACTGAAAGACGAGGGGAAGAACAAAGCTCTCTAAGAGCCTTGCATTTTTTCTCTCCGGGAATGTGGTGGGAAGAAGGCTGGGCCAGCTGGCTGGACTCCGATTCCAGTCCTGCTCTCAGCTAGTGGAGCAGCCCCTTACTCTTGTCACGAAGGGGCTGGACTGGGAGATGCTGAGTGCTCAGCAGCCCCTGGAGCACTGGCTCTTAAAGGGAGGGACCGGAGCATCTGTTTCAGAATCATCTCTGCTGTTTGTCGTAAGTGAACAAACTTATTGGATCAGAATCTTTGAGACTGGTGCCCCAGAATCTGTATTTCCAAGAATTGTCTCAAGTAATTCACATGCACAGGAATGCTGGAGGAGTTGCAGGGCAGAGAGAACTGGGGCTTCAGAGGGAGACTGGCCTCAGTTCACCTTTGACCTGGGCAATTATTTCACCTTCCTATGTCTCAGTTAATTCATCTTTAACATAGGACACAGCTACAACTTAAACTAATACAAAATAACATAGACTGTAAAACTTATAAATACTTTTGGTAAAAAATAAATAAAATAGGGCATAGCAATATTACCAGCTATTTTATAGTACCTAGGGTTAGTGGGAGGGTTAAATATTTTTTTAAAAGATATAGAAAGTGCTTCACTCACTGTAATTATGTAATACATGGCAGCTAAGATGATTTTGACTATGTTTTGACATTTAGAGTCAACCTATTTTTTATTGTAGATACAATTCTAAAATCTGACTTAAAGTCCATAACTACATCAAATTGACAGCACTGAGAGGGAAAAAAGACAGTATTTGTTGAATAATCTGGCTTTTGAACAAGATTCACCGTTAAAAATTTTTTTAAGCCATGAACTTGATTACATCTCTATTTTATACCAACATAGGTCAACTGCCCTCTAGCCTGAGGTATCAGGCTCCAAATCTCTAGGAAAATAAAGAAAAGAAGTGCATACTACCCAAAGCAATCTATAAATTCAACGCACTTCCCATTAAAATACCAATGGCCTACTTCACAGATCTAGAACGAACTCTCCAAAAATTCATCTGGAATAAAAAAAGACCCCGAATAGCTGCAGCAATCCTGAGAAAGAAGAAAATAGGTGGGATCTCAATACCAGATATCAAGATGTATTACAAAGCCACTGTTCTCAAAACTGCCTGGTACTGGCACAAGAACAGACATATAGATCAATGGAATAGAATAGAGAACCCAGAAATCGGCCCGAACCAATATGCTCAATTAATATTTGACAAAGGAGGCAAGAACATACAATGGAGCCAAGATAGTCTCTTCAATAAATGGTGTTGGGAAAATTGGACAGATACATGCAAGAAAATGAAACTAGACCACCAACTTACACCATACACAAAAATAAACTCAAAATGGATAAAGGACTTAAATGTACGACAGGAAACCATAAAAATTCTAGAAGAATCCAAAGGCAACAAAATCTCAGACATATGCCAAAGCAATTTCTTCACTGATACAGCTCCTAGGGCAGTTGAAACTAAAGAGAAAATGAACAAATGGGACTACATCAAAATAAAAAGCTTCTGCACAGCAAAAGAAACCATCAACAAAACAACAAGAAAACCCACTGCGTGGGAAAACATATTTGCCAACGTCATATCTGATAAGGGCCTAATCTCCAAAATTTATAGGGAACTCATACAACTTAACAAAAGGAAGATAAACAATCCAATCAAAAAATGGGCAAAGGACCTAAATAGACACCTTTCAAAAGAGGACATTCAGAAAGCCAAGAGACATATGAAAACATGCTCAAAGTCACTAATCATCCGAGAGATGCAAATCAAAACAACAATGAGGTACCATCTCACACCTGTCAGAATGGCTATCATCAACAAATCAACAAACGACAAGTGCTGGAGAGGATGTGGAGAAAAAGGAACACTTGTGCACTGCTGGTGGGAATGCAGACTGGTGCAGCCACTATGGAAGACAGTATGGAGTTTCCTCAAAAAACTGGAAATGGAACTCCCATTTGACCCTGTGATCCCACTTCTAGGAATATATCCCAAGAAACCAAAAACACCAATCAGAAAGGATATATGCACCCCTATGTTCATAGCAGCACAATTCACCATAGCTAAGATTTGGAAACAGCCTAAGTGCCCATCAGTAGATGAATGGATTAGAAAACTGTGGTACATCTACACGATGGAATACTATGCTGCTGTAAAAAAGAAGGAACTCTTACAATTTGCAACGGCATGGATGGAGCTGGAGAGCATTATGCTAAGTGAAATAAGCCAGTCAATGAAGGAAAAATACCACATGATCTCACTCATTCATGGATAATAAAGACCATTACAAACTTTTGAACAATAATAGATACAGAGGCAGAGCTGCCTCAAACTGATTGTCAAACTGCAGTGGGAAGGCCAGAGAGGGTTGGGGGGCAGAAGGGAGGGGAGTAAGAGATCAACCGAAGGACTTGTATGCATGCATATAAGCAAAACCAATGGACATAAGACACTGGGGGGTAAGGGAGGGCAGGGGATTGTCAAGGAGGGGGGAGAAGGACACATATGTAATACCCTTTGTAATACTTTTAGCAATAAAAAAAAAAGAAAAGAAGTGCAAGTATCACGTGTCATATACCACCAACCAGACTCAGGCATTGCCCTTTTCACAGGGGCACTGCTCTTTCTTCTGGAGCGAGGAGCACCAGTGAGGACATGGTTCTCATGATTCCCTGCCCCGCCCTCCTCCCCTCTGTCTTCTCTTTCATTTTTAGCAGCCACGGCGAGCTGCCTGTTCTTTTCCAGAACAAGCTGCAGTGAGGCCTGATATCAGGATGACTTGGAGGAAGATTATAGCTCTTCTCTCCTAGAAAGCCCGTCACGTCTTGCCAGGAGAATCATCACAGAGGCTGCCACTTATTTCTCTCTGTGTGCAGACTGGCACGCAGGTAGAAGTACTGTTGTTGGATATTGGAGATGAGGGAGGGAGAGTGGGGGGGAGGGGAGAGAGAGAGAGAGAGAGAGAGGAAGAGAGAGAGAGAGAGAATAAGGGGGAAGGGCTGGGACAACTTTGCCATCCTTACATAAGGGTATGTATGGATGCTCAGGACCAGACTCCACCATCCACACACCAGCGGGCACCAGCGTCATTGCCTACAGAAATGGCCCAATTTCATTTAATTTCTCAAACATGGCCTGGGCACCTACTAAGTGTCAGGTGCTCTGCTGGGCCCAAGATAACTCTGCTTCAGACTCACCTTTCAGCTGTGTGAAGGGGGGTGGAACTCTCATAGTGACGGTCATTAAAATAGTAAAGGAGTTAGGCAGACATTGTGGATGTAGAATGAGAAAATGTCTTTCATTCTTCAAAAGAGAAATAGGTGGAACTCTTACCTTTTGTGACAGCATGAATGGACCTGGAGATTATTATGCCAAGTGAAATAAGCCACTTAGAGAAAGACAAATACCATATGACCTCACTTATATGTGGAGTCTGATGAACAAAATAAACTGATGAACAAAATAGAAACAGAGGCATGGATACATGGAACAGACTGACAGATGTCAGAGATGAGAGGGTGCAGGGGGATTGGATAAAAGAAGGTGAAAGGATTAGCCAAAGAACATACTAGTATATGCATGACCCATAGACACAAACAAAAGTGTGGTGATGGCCAGAGGGAAGGGAAGGTGGGTGGAGGTGGGCAAAGGGGAAGGGGAATGGGGACATCTTGTAAGTGTCAACAATAAAAATAAAGAAAAAAGAATGAAACATTACAAAAAAAGAGAGAGAAGAAGAAATAGGTCTGTATTAGAGATGCCGCTCAGAAGGATAATATGCTAATACAAAACACCAGCTCAGTTTGGGTTTACCAAACTTTGCTGGTGTTTTGTATTAGCATGTGTGGGTGTGCAGGCAGAGCCCAGAGGCCAGTGTGGCCATACAGGGGATAGCAGAATGCAGAGATGATGTCAGAGAAGCAGCTAACGTTAACACCATTGCTGTTAGGACTAGGTGGGATCCCAAGAGAAGTAGCAGCATCTAGTTCTTGTTCTTTTTTTGTTGTTGCTAATCCTCACCTGAGGATATTTCTCCATTGATGTTTTAGAGAGAGTGGAAGGGAGGAAGGGAGAGAGAGAGAGAGAGTGAGAGAGAGAGAGAGAGAGAGAGAGAAACATTGATGTGAGAAAGACACTTCGATTGATTGCTTCATGCACACACCCTGATTGGGGCCAGAAATCAAACCTGTAATCCAGGTACATGCCCTTGACTGGGAATTAAACCTGAGACCATTCAGTGTGCCGGGCAATGCTCTAACCACTGAGCAACCAACCAGGGCTAGTTCTTGTTTTGATGAGGTCATGTGTCATTATATACATCATAGGAGTTGCCTGAGGATCAGAAAGGGGATAATGCATCAAGCTGTGGACCTAGGATGCCACTGCACCTAAAGGTCCCAAGTCCATCTTGCCCACTAAGGGTCCTGCTATTTCCTATTCCCTTAGCCGAGTTTCTCCAGCACTCGGCAGAGAATAATACTGTATTTCATGAAAAAATCCTCCATTTCCCCCCCAAATGTCTTTTACTTCACAAACAGGTGGTGTTAGCAGTGATGGGGAATGCGGATGTTGCTCAGAAAGTGATGTGCTCCAGCGAGGACTGCAGCTGGAACATTCTTCTCCCCACAGGTTTCATAGCTGACAGCACCACCAGTCCCCTGTAACGCAGTATTTCAAAATTTAAAAGGAATAATTGAAGAACTGTCTATAGTGGGCTGGCCTAAAAGCTTCCTGCTGAGTTTATTATTTTTTTAAATTGAATTTATTGGGGTAACATTAGTTGATAAAACCATACAGGTTTCAAGTGTACAATCAATAGCTCATCACCTCCTGAGTTTATTCTCCTCTAGAGTTAATCCCAACTGACTATTAGTTACACGTTTTACCAGCTCAGTGCTAAACGGGAAACAGTGCCAGCTATTTGCAATGATATTAGCAGTGGTATTCACCCGGCGAGGAGAGTCCAACTTTCAAAGGAAATTGTACAATGTAGTAAAACTGTACTTTGAATTGTTCAGAGCAGATGTGTTATCATTTCAAATGCTGGAGGGAAACAGTCAGCTTATTATCCTCTTACACATTTAGCTTGGGTTGAATTAAATTTAAAAATTCTTTTATTTCCCATTCTGTTTAGGAAAGAAAGCAAGGTATGCTTCAAAGTTGCCACCGGAGAAATAAAGAGGCATGTCGCCTGTCCTCTTTCCTCAATCTGTTGTATAAAAGGAAACAGAGGGTGCAATCGAAAACAACCTGAATTTATGATTATCACATATCTAGACGGCTTCAAGAAATTCAGTACAATGATGCCTCCAAACTTCTTTTCTTTCCCCTGATGTAACATGGTTCAGGTGACCTTCCGCTTCCAGTCAAAGTGGAGTAATAAGGACCAGAGATTTTCTCTTCCACTAGAAACAATTTAAAACAAAGTATGTGCCACCATGGTTTTCAAGGCATTGGACATCAGACAATGAAAGGCCGTCATCTCTGAGAGATGGAGAGCGAATAGAGTGAGCCGGTCACCTCCAGCTGACTGTCCTGAGGAAGTTCCCAGAAGATGATGCAGGAAGGGAGAACCCCCGAGGGGCCCGAGAGCTCTTTAATTGAGGAGAAGAGGCTGAGAATTCTGAGAGGAAAAGGGTGGCTAGAGTCTGCAGTGTAAAGTGACTGAGAGGAGTCTGAAAATCTCAGAGGGCACGTTGAGTACTCAGCAGAGGACGGATCAGCACAGGCGAATGAGAAAGCTACCCAGGCTGGGGAAAGAACCACACGAAAACATTAGAGCAGCGGTTCTCAACCTGAGGGTCGCGACCTCTTTGGGGGTCGACTGACCCTTTCACAGGGGTCACCTAAGACCATCGGAAAACACATATATAATTACATATTGTTTTTGTGATTAATCGCTATGCTTTAATTATGTTCAATTTGTAACAATGAAATTGGGGGTCACCACAACATGAGGAACTGTATTAAAGGGTGGCGGCATTAGGAAGGTTGAGAACCACTGGATTACAGAGACTGGTACTCACAGCTCTTACTGTACCTGTTCTCACCAGCCAGCCCAGAAAACCTCAGCAGGCATAGGTTAGAGTAGTCAGAAGGTACTAAATACTTGTCATTAGCCCTGAGGAGAAATGATCCCTTCTCTAAGCATCACTGTGGTCCTACCTAACAATTCATAAAAGCAATACCTGGAACTGTGTCCACGTAATGGAATTGTATTCCAAAACAAAGCTCAGGAATATTTATATATGGGAACACAAGACTCTCCAGAACCCAACAATGTAAAATTGATAATGTCAGGCATTAAATAAAATTGATCTTATCAGACATGCAAAAAAACAGACAAACCACTAAACAAACAGGAAAATATGATCCGCAATTAGGAGAAAAATAAGTAACCCAGAACTGACCCCAAATTAGCACAGATGTGAGACTGAGCAGACAAGGGCATTATTTTTTATTATTGCATTCTATGTGTTCAAAGAGCTCGAGGAAAGATTGAGCATGTTAAGTAGAGACACAAAAGATGTAAAAAAGACTCAAATTGAATTTTTGGAGATACAATGTCTGAGATTTAAAAAGATATACTGAATGGGATTCATGATGGTCTTAGTCCATTCAGGCTGCTATTAACAAAGTACCATAGACTAGATGACTTCTACACAAGAAGGTTATAACTCACAGTCCCGGAGGTCCGAGAGCAAGGTGCCAGTGTGGTTGGAAGCCGGTAGGAGCCCTCCTCCAGGGGACACACTTCTTGCATTCTCATGTGGTGGAAAGAGGATGAGAGAGCTCTTTTTCGGGTCTTTTTGATAAGGAAGGGCACCGATTCCATTTACGAAAGCTCCATCCGCATGACCTAATCACCTGCCAAGGTTCCACCTCCTTAAAGAAAAGACGCAGGTGGGGCGACAAAGCGTATTTCATCAAGAAAATGTTCTCACACCTTTGTCTCTAGTTTCATTGGAGAGAAGTGAATACCACAATCTCCAGGGGAAATCTGTGGACCCCCTGCTGCAACAGGGTCTTCAAACGTACAAGGCAAAGTAATTAATGTCACCACCAGGTGGCAATAATACCACAGCGATGCTGGAAGAGTAATAGGCTTGTCTTTATTGCCTCCAAATCATCTACGCAAATAACCTTCGGTGAATTTTGTGCTACTCGTGTTCTACTATCCAATTATGTGGTAATATACTAATTACATTTCTACTCTGAAGTAACCGTAGTAATCAGTCTATGCAGCCTGAACAGTTGAGAGGGCTTTGTGGGGAAAACTGTTATTCTCCTCTGCTACCTTCCCTCTTAGAAGGAAATTAGCCTTAAAGGGATTGAGAATCACCAAGTGGGGAGTGGGCACGGACAGGAGCAGGGAACCATTCAGATAAGGAAAATGAGGCCAGCGACATGAAGAGTGAATTTCCTCAAAATCCTCCTCCTAGAAACACGATCACAGCCCAGAGATCCCGAGTCTCCTATCAGAATTCCCACAAGATAAGGAGTCTGCTCAGCGAGGAGAGGGGCCATCTCCTCCGTGTGCTCTCAGTATCTAACAGGGGCTTATTGAGTTCCTAATGCGGAAAAGGCACTGTGCTAGGCCTGGGGTGTACTGGGGGAGTAATATTAATAACAATAATAATCATACAGATATAAATCTTTGCCCCCAGGAACTTGGGTACAGCTAATGAGTTAATGGTCAAATATGTAATCACAAACTCCCTTAGATAATGTAAAGCAGTGATTTTCAACATTTTTTTTATCTCATGGCACACATAAACTAATTACTAAAATTCTGACACACCAAAAAATATGATATCTATCTATCTATCTATCTATCTATCTATCTATCTATCTATCTATCATCTATCTATCATCTATCTATCTATCATCTATCTATCTATCTATCTATCTATCTATCCATCTATCTATCTATCATCTATCAATCTTCTATTTAATCCTCACTTGAGGATATTTTTCCATTGATTTTTAGAGAGAGTGGAAGAGAGAGGGGAAGACAGAGAGAAATATGAATGTGTGAGAAACACATCGATTGGTTGCCTCCTGCCCATGACCCCGACCAGGGCTCTTGCAGGGCCGGGGAGGAGCCTGCAACCAAGGTATGTACTCTTGACCAGAATTAATCAAACTCTGCAGGCCAACGCTCTATCCACTGAGCCAAACTAGCTAAGGCAAGTATGTTATATTTTTTGCTGTTCTGACAAAAAAAAAAA